TCAGGTCTGTTCCTACCACTTTAGGTGAGGGTGGTTGGATGGGCTTAAAAGCAAGAGGTCTGTAAAAGATTTTTGGAGGGTTTTCTCTCCACAAATGTGGAGGTGCAACAACATCTTTCTGAGGTGGTTGTGGGTGACCTGGACTCTGTCCACGGTCTTCTCTGAGTTCCAGACAAACTCGCCCCACGTCAGAACTTTTATATGTTGCTGCTCTTAATTTCTCCTCACATGCTTTTAAACGTTCCTGTGATGTTTGACATTCACTTTGTAAACGCATAACTTCTTCCAGGAATACCTCTTTATCCACTTCGCATTTGTGCAGATCTTTTTTAAGCACATCTATCTCAGTTTCGCAGCGGGAAACTTGTGACACTGTCACGACGTGATCCCGTCTTAATGCAAAGTAAGATTCTTTCAGCAACATAGCCATTTTAGCCAGCTTTTCATAGCTTGACATTGTAATTTCTGTAGAGGTCACACTCTCTGCAACCTCCATCAGATTGTCCAATAACTCTTTTGGGTTCATGCTCTCCGCCTGTTTGCCATATGGATGTAAGGATCCTGTCAGCAGTGCTAACGCATTTTCTAAACAGTCCTTCATCTCATAAGGATCAAAATCTTTTTCCCTGACACCTGTCATGGTTATTCACTGTTCAGCACTTATCTGTGTAAACAGTTGCCAACTTCAGATTATTTTAACAGGTAAATATTTGTATTCAAGTGTCATGTGAGTTTCACACTATTTTAAGCTCTGGGTTTACTCAAAAGTACTGTTATAAGTCAACTTATTCAAATGTGGGCACCTGTCACAGGTTTTTCCCCAATTCATGAATATTTAAGTAAATGCTTCTATGCAGTGTTACTTTTTATGTGCTTATTTCTTAACAGATACTAGATTACCAAGCTTCTCAGTGTTTCTTACTCTAAAGCACTGAATTTTAAATAAACCTGCAATTTTTCTAAAAGTTCCACAGCAACTTTAGTTTTTAAACGCTTTCTTAAGCCGTTCTTTTCCAGAAATTCGCTATTTAAAACAGTTACTCATTAAACCAGTTTGGGTGAAAAGAGAAAAGAAAAAAAAATGATGAGGAGATTATCAGTCTTTCTTCAGAAAAACTGTTATACTCCTGTTCTCTCCTGCCAATATCTTCTATTTAAAATTAAATAGGAAGATGTAGTTTTTAGGCGGTAACTTAAACAGAAAGGTTTCTTTTTCCTGATAAGTTTACTCTTATTTAGTGATCTAGCAATTAAACGTGTATTATCTTTCCAGCAAATGAGTAAACTTATCAACTCTGTGAATATCTGAACCGTATCTTTTAAAAAGTTTCTAATTTTTCATTTTGCACCTCCTGTTTGAGGAACTCAGTGAATGAAAAATGTCCTGGTAAATGCCTTTCTTGCATAAATACCTTAATCACTTTTTAAATGCAAGATAACAGTGATTATTCAGCTTTGAGGAACGTTTATTAACTCAAAAATGCCTTACAGAAAGTAAATACGTTTAATTTCACTCAACATAACCTAAAACATAGTGAAACTGTGATATCAAGTTCCTACAGGAGGGGGCAGTGTTTAGCTTTGTACCAGCAGGAGCTTATGACAACTTCCTGTGAACGTTCTGTTGACATCCTGTTGTTAGCCGCTTAGCTCAAAGTTAGCTTCGGCTAAACTCTGTTAAAATCAACATTTCTGAACGTATTTCAAGCTAAAACGTGGCGTTGTTTCAACAAGCACGACTTATTTGCATGAACATGAGTTTTTTGGGACATGTGGCAAGTTTTATTTAGTGATTTTAAGCACAGCAAAGGCTTCGGTGCAACCGAGCTTTACAATCTGACATGGAGGAAGTGACGTGACTGAATCTACCAATCATAACAGCACGGGGGTGGGCTTTACGACCTGACACGTCAGAGTTAGTCACGACCGACACGTCCCTCAGCCAATCAAAGCGTTCCACAGCAGCTGATTTCAACCAATCACGCATCGTGTTTGCAGCTAGCATGTTAGCCTTAGCCTGAAAAAAGTCCGTCAACTTTTCGTCTTTTAAACTGTCAAAATGCACTATTTTCTGTTAAAAATATAACGAATCAAGCTCTCAAAGCTTCACTGAGACTTCATCCGGTCCTTAAAACGTTTCTCCATCTATTTAAAATACTCGTTCGAACTTCTCAGAACCGAGCCGGACCAACAGAACCTCTTGTTCGTTTGGACCACAGTTTAAACAGAATAACGTTTTCCACAGCTCAAACCCAGCTTATGTTACACAACAGATGTACAATTTCAGCTTCCAACAGACACGTTGACTCACAATTTCAGCATCAAAGCATCACAGCGTAAACATGCAGTGTTTTCTCCAAGCGTCGCAGCCGCGCTGCGTTGCACGCAGCAAAATCTGCATTTTTCATCACAGCAGAATCTGCAATTTTTTCATGCCAACATGATATTTTACACGAATACAACAGTCCATTTATGAACCGTCACGGGCCACCAGATGTAGAATGACATATCCTGAGATATATTCATCCATTAAACGGGTTCTTTCATTTTACTGGACTGTATAATGTCGTACATTGAATTTAATAAAATGTGGACGTGAGACGTTAATTATCTTTGACCCATCAAAATGAATGCGGTCATTTATTAACAGAATCAAGTTTAACACATCACACATTTACATTAATTGGCAAAATTGAAAATAACGACAGCTTATTAATCAGTTTTACAGGGAGTAAACAATGCGGCGATTGTTTTCTCCTTTCAGCAGTACAGACGTCAACCACACGGCGGTGGTGAAAAACTTTGCTTCAGACATTTCTAAAAATATCTGTAATGACTTTTAGCAGATAGAAGAATTTTAAAGATTGAAGTTTAGAGGAAGGGAGATGGTGTGTGTATGAGTGAAAAGTGTTGACAGAACGACACCCTCCATCCGACCCAGCTTTCCTCGGTACGCTCGGTAGTGGACTAGACTCATTACCTCTCTGACGATGAATCAGCGGAAGAGGAGCTCCGGTTACGCTACCGGTCCAGCGTCTCCGTAGGATGGCCGAAAACCGTCCGGAGTGGTGACGGGACTTCGTCAACAACAGTTCACCTCACGAGTGGACGTCACATGAGTGGGGTTCGTCAGAGTTCCACTCACAGGTGGAAGATGTCATAATCCCATAAGACTCGGAAGAGCTCTGTGGTCATGTCCTGTTTCCAGCCCTGGAACTTCGACCCAACAGCAACTGCGACCCAACAGCAACTGCGACCCAATAGCAACTGTCTGAACTAGGAAGTACCGACATTTAAAGAGCTCTATTTCCGGTTCATTTGGGAGTTTCTGATTGGTCGATGGACCAAAACAGAGGTGTGTTTTGTGATGTAAGGTGTTATGAAAAGTCAAGGAAAAGATTAAGATTGTTTAAGAACAGACAGAAAGATATTATGGAGAAACCAGACTTCGTGGAGTCACTTCTTCCAGTATCTTGCTGTAAAAGTTAAACATGACATTTCTTTTCAGTAAACTTTCAGTTGACCGAAGCTTGAACTTCGACACACTTACAAACTTCGCTCATTGAAGACAGAAAATCAGACAATGCATCATTAACCTGATTCCTTCTTTGAATGAGGATTAAAAATCATTATTACTATTTTAAGTAAATAAAAAATGAGTAGTTCACTTCAACATGTAAACATTGTTTGAACTAACACAACTTGATTATCAAAACATTTGTAGAATAGTAATGATCATAGAGAATTGTCTTTTTCCACTTGATTAATTCAAGAAAGAAAGTCTCAGGATGGGTCAACCTGTATTTCTGGATTCAAATCAATGAAATTACAGTTTCAGTCCCATACGGTCCTAAGGTCAAGTTTTGACATCAGGTCAAGTTCACTACATATTATAGGCTGTGGGTGCAAAGTCAGGATCAGCTGAGTTGACAGTCTTCACAGGCAGATGGAGAGTGAGAGTCACCTGTCAAGACTGCAGCGATGACGTCACTGGTCCTGTGCAGAGCAGCTGCAATAACGTGGTTGGAGGGGCAAATCCAATAACGGGTCCGGTTGTCAGAGCAGGGGTCATG